TCATTATCTAAGGTCTTAGTAGGATATAAAACTTGTCCCTTAAAAGCTGAAATAACTGCTTATTTTTTAAAGTCACTGACATTAAATTAAATATGAATTACTAAGCATCTTTTTATTCTAACCCATTTCTATCTGGCTTTAATTTTAAGTCTTTTGGAGCTTCATCCCACTTTGCCATTTGCTTTTGTATGTTTTATTCTGTCTTGCAAGCTGATTAGTAATAATAAACTCAGGATCAGAACTTTGAAATCACTGCCTTTAAACACGTCCAGATATACAGCACGTGTTTCATCTCCCTTTGGCACAAAGGCCTGGTGCGTTCCGCCTCTCTCACCATGGATACCATGCTATTTAACTCAGCCTGAACTGTGCTGACTGCAGACACTGAAAGCCTGATGGTCATTAAAACAGTTTTCCCTCTCTTTACACCCAGCCAATGTGCATCAAGTGTTCTAACTAAAATACACGTTCAGAAAGGGCCCCAAATTGACAAGGAGCAAAGGAGGAAAACAAAAAACATAATTGGAAGAGGATGGTGGAGAGAATAGGCAAATTTGAAGAAATAAATAAAGGGGAGGCCAAGAATACTTGGTGACAGTTCATTATCATCTTTGGCAGGTGTATTTATATGTTGTTCACTACAAAAAGCAGACATCCAAGATGAAGTCCTTCTCACAGACTGCAAAGGTGTACAGATTTATAACATGCTTGGTTGAATATGTCCCCCATAAGTAGTAGCACTGCCTGAACCCTCAAGCGGCTACTATAGACAGCAGGTAAAACAGGAACGCATTTCCTTTTGAACCCAAGCATTCAGTCTCTGTGTACAGCTGCTCTGTGGCACCTAATGCCTTGCCTTCCCTGGGACAGCAGCCAGCGGGGTGGCGGCTTTCTTTGGAGATTAGGCATTAATTAGTTCTACTTTGCTTCCTTAAGATAACCCTGCAGATGCTTTTCTTTGCTCTGATTATCGCACATAGAAAAGGGTTGCATTTTTCTAAGCTACTAAGCAGCCAAGGGTTTGTGTGACTATGACAGCTGCTAAGTGATTTTCTGGTGGAGAAATAAAATGGCAGGAAGGAAAAGTCAAGTCCTTCCCGCTGCAACCCAAGGCCCAGTATTGCTGATATCCTGAGAGGAAAATAAAATCAATGTTCTGACTTGTATTTGCTCCCTCTTCCAGCTGGGCACTGCCTTTTTTTTTTTTTTTTTTCCATTAGCTTAAACATGATCTACGGGAATATGCTGACACACATGGACCCATGCTCACTCCAAATTTAGTGCTAAAGACAAAAACTCCTCAGATATTCTAAACTAACCACTTTACTAACTCAGAGTCCTCAGTAACAAACTGTGCGCTGGTAAACACAATAAAAACACGTAAACAAAACCTTCCAAGCAGGCAGAATACACATCAGGGCATTCAGATCCCAAAGCTGTAACAGTTACTCCCAGGAGGGATTGCCAGACCTCTGTCCAGAATCCAGTTCATTCTAATTAAGACCTTGTTCTGAGCAGCTTGGCTCTATGGTACTGCAGTCCACAAAGATTAGAAACTAAATGAAGGGATGTGCATCCTCAGGCGACACACTGACAGGAGCAAGAAGACAGCTGGCCTTCAAAGAGGAGACAGCACTGACGGCCAACCAAAGCCATAACCCAACACAAAATAAAAATCACAGAAAAAAATGATCTGCCTGCACAATAACTTTCTTAATATATTGTAGATCATGCAAAATAAACCACATTTATAATGAGACTTCTGAATCATCAAGAAAAATACAAATATTTTAAAAGGTTTTGAGACTTCAGCAGGTAGATTTCCATTTCTCTGAAACCTCCAATGAGTGAAATTATTATCCTTCAATATTTATCTCTAAGATCACTTATCTAGCTGCCTAATATTTGTCCAGGACAAAACCAAACCAGAAATGGGAAAGCAAATGAAATATGTCAATTTCAGATTCCTGGGAAGTGAAGGTAGCGATTTTGAGGGGGAAGAGGTTCTCTTTATTAAGGTGAGTGTACTGAGAAACTTGCCCCAAACTTCTTACCTTTCAAGAACACAGTGGTACTAGTTCACATGCCTGGCAAGCTATTAATTGTGTCAATGGAGTCAGAAGCTATTCTTCACAAAAGACTTAGAATGGGGGTTGGGGTTGGGGTTCAGCAGTAGAGCACTTGCCCAGCACATGTGAGGCCCTGGGTTCGATCCTCAGAACCACATAAAAATAAAGATATTGTGTCCATCTGCAACTATAAAAATACATAGAATGGTAGCTCAGAATTCTACCTGATCTCAGAATTGCATGTTAAGAAAGCAGGTTTCCAGGATCCTCTCGTGGATATGAGAGTTTGGAATGTTTGTTTGGGACCCTTGAGTCTGTATTTGATAAGCTCTTCCCTGTTTAGAACCACTAACCTGGAATGCTATAGTTTGGGAATGTTCCCTGAGTATCTGTCTGGGCTTCTTAGCCACCCCTACCTTGGAGGATCTACAGTCTCCTGTTCCCCAATCCAAAGGGCAGCTGGTACTGCTTATGGGATCTCTTCTGGTTCAGCCTGTTTCTCCCTAGGGACACACAGAGCTCACACTCTTCCATATAACTCCATTTTTCTCATAGTTATCACCCAAGGAGTGCAAAAAGGTTAAAACAGAATGAGAAAGGATAAAATTAGACATACATTGTTTCTCTATAAGGGAACTGATCTTTACCTGCTAACAACGAAGATGCTTGAAAAGAAATAAAAAGGAGGCAGGATATTTTAGTATGTCCAAACCAGCTATGAAAAAAAGAGTTTGGGGCGGGGTTGTTTGCTTTTTTGTTATTTGTATTTTAAGCTTCTTTAGGAGACTGATACTGGAGGTCAGAATGTTCCAGCTCTAACCACTTTCTAATCATCTGCCACTCTGCTTAGTAATAACAAAAGCTCACACTCGTGTGCTGCCTACCCTATTTTGTCCTGAATTGTTTATTCTGGCATTTATACTTTCTATCTCATTTTGTTCTTTTCTTCAGTTTAATTTTCCACAGAAATCTTATGTTCCCTTTCACCACTGAATAGATTTTACAATCTCCCATAGACCAAGTCTTGAAAAATAAAATGAATTAATAATAATGAATCTGAATATGCAGAACCTTCCTGCCCAGGGACAACCAAAGCTGAGTTGTGCTTCTTTGGTAGCTGCTAGAGTGTCTACTCATTACCTTTATGGGTTTTTTTTTTTTTCCATTACATGGAAAGCAAACATTGGTATCTCTGAGCACACAGAAAATTTCTTCTGCACAAAGTAAACTCTGCTGTAAACAGGGCAACTTGTTTAATCTCTTTCCTTCTATTGCTAAACTGGGATAATATATCACATGAAATCAAGGGAGGGAAAAGGTTAAAACGTAATTTTCTGTATGTTCTTGCAAGATCCCTTTGTTGGTGCTAAAAAAAGGTCAGGGTAAGTGATTGTCAGCTTAGACTGTAGATATTGTAAAAGTTTCTGCATAATCATTGCATTCTAGCTCCCTGGGGTTGTGGCTACTCACCTCTAGTCCTATGCAGGTGTGTCTAAAACCTTAATAGCAGTACTGGCATACTTAGGACTCTAGCCACTTTCTCTTTAGCAAATGATACCCTTCACATTCTTGCTGCATAGCAAGATCCTAAAATAAGTGAACTAAAATTTTCTAGAACTTAGAAAGTTTCCTAAACATACCACAGTATGAATGTATGTTAGAATAATAGAATTGATTGAAGATAGAGGCACAAGGAAGAAATAAGTTGATTTTTGTCATCTATTGAAATAAATTGCAAGTGGATTACCTGGGATAAAATAAGGAGTAGTTACTGTTATTGTCTTTGAGACATATTTTAGATTTAATTTAATCTTCTGCATGTACTTTTCCATTGCTACTTCTTAAGACATATCCCTCAAGGCTAGGAAAGACTACAAGACTACACAGACTCATGACACCTTAATTACCCATACAGTCATTCAACAAATACTTAATGAAGAAATGAATAAATACCAATAAATATTAAAATATAATAAATAAATAAATACCAATAAAATTAATAAATAAATATTAAGTTTTCAACTTAATATTCCATGCAAGCATAAAAACAATTTTTAAAAATTTCACAATTTAAAAAAATTCAGGCAAGTCATTTTAGAGAGTACAGGTTCTGTAGTGAGAAGACTAGTGCTAGATATCCAGTTAGCTTCTAACTACTAAGCAAGCCTCTAACATTCAGCTCTTCCATCTCTAAAATGGGTTTAATATTATGTAAAAACCTAATATAATAGTTGGAAATAGTATCTGTGAATTTCCAAACACAGCATCTGGCATATGTGACTTTGGTGTTGATAATGGTGCTACTGAGCGGATAACTACTTATTTCCATACTTTCTCTTGTTCCAATCTTTTCTTTCACAAGATCCTAGTATGTTCTTATTATTTTGCTTGATATACTTTCCCAGAATGAAAGAGTACCATATTTAGAAGGAGTAAGAGAACACACTACAAAGTAAAACATAAATGCAATTTGGGAGGAATATTACTTAACTGCAATGTTTGTAGCTTTACTAATGTCTTCTCTTTATCCACCAAGATTCTTGGATTGTAAGAAACAGAGAGTTAAATCATTTACTGAATGAATTTATTGGAAAGATATGAGATAATTCATAGAACTTTAGGAAATGCTTCATAATTAGACTGTGAGAAGAATAAGAATTGGGCTGCCTTTTGGAGCAGTGTAGAGGAACAAAGAGAGTGTCTTAGGACAGTGGGGCCAGAAGTTTCCAACTCTAATCATTCTAAGCATCTTAGAATAGCTGATGATTGAATGAAGGATGGACATCATTCTGAATTGAAGGGATACTAGTTGTTTTATGTGACTTTAATATTTTTCTGTGTCGCTCTGATTGAAAATGATGAAAGCCCACACTATGTACCACTTAACCTGTGTTAGTAATGCTTCTAAAGACTTTGCAAGCATTAACTCACTTAATCCTTCAACAGTTTTATGAGGTAAGCAATTCTCAGGAAAACACGGAAGTCTCATGGATATAGCTTGATCCACGTGGTCAATGCATTGGGCAAGGAGTACCTCATTTGATAGTCCTAGAAGACAAAATGGAACAAAAATAAGTTAGGGCAATTTTACCAAAAGGAGGCTTAAATAAGGGTAGGCAGACAAAATCCATTTTTACATTTGATAATCCATTTTATATTTATATATTTGATAAGATCCACATGCCTGCCGCTGAATAAAGATAATCTTTATTTCTGTTGAGCAAAATATTTTCAATTAGTGGCATACAGTGACTAGAATTTAGAAAGTTCAGAAATAAAATGTGTCTTCTTCTGAAAGTGAAGCTATATTCTGTCTCCCATTCTATATGTGGATAGGAATACTATAATAGTACTTAAAATAAATATGTGATTGCACATTGATGCCAATTATTAACAAAGTGAAAAATCATATGTATTTAGGAAAAATATACTTAACATGTAAATTCAGTCAAATTTAACTTCTCTGACTCCAGTAAGTCTAGGCATCACAGAAGAGAGGAAATTCTTCCTCAATTACCCCAGGATTAGTGAGATAAACATTCTCCCAATCTTTCTCCCAATCTCTTATAAGCCCCTAGTAAAATAATTCTTTCATTGAATTGCTTGAATCAACAAGATTTCCATTGCCAGAAAGAAAAAAAAAGAAAAAGAAAAACATTTCATTATCCTGAATGCTTCCATTTTCAAGAAAAAGTTCTTATGTTTGACCTGGGGTGTGGGGGGAGGAAGTAGTTACTGCCACTATATCATATAATATATTATTATCATATGATACTCCTTGTAGAGGTTAGAGGCCATTCCTTATTCATCCTTATGTCTACTGTGTCTCTGAGGATTGCAGACAAAATTTATTTTATGAATTAAGTAATAAATATTTGATCTTATTTCAAGAGTAGTCCAATTTTTTTTTCTGTTGCAGACCTTATTATCAGTATTTGCATTTGAAGTACCTAGCATAGAAATATGAAGAAATCCCATATGCAAGAAAAATATTAAAGTCACATAAAACAACTAGTATCCCTTCAATTCAGAATGATGTCTATCCTTCATTCAGTCATCAGCTATTCTATGAAAATCTGTTATGGTCAACAGGCTAATGTTAAAAGAACTGGAAATATAAATCAGAGCACAGGAGTCTCACATCCTTTACTCTCAGATTTCCACTGAAATGTTCAGTAGTACTAAAAGACAAGTGAAAAACACCTTTGAATTTATAAGCTAAGCATACAACCTCCACACACAAAAACTAAGAAAAGTTTCAGCTATAAGTAAAGTAAATCAGATAAAAAGCAAATAAAACCAATCACTAAGGCACAACTCTCATATTCTCCAGGACATAGTTTCCTATTTGGAACGATAAGATGCTATGGTTAGAGGCGCTAAGACACAGAGTGAAAATATGCCCCTTTGGCTTTGTTTTGCTCAGGCTGAGCTCTAGTATTTGGAGGGAGTGTTTTTTGAAGTTCCTGAATTCGTACAGGTCATAGGATGCAGTAAGAGTGCAGTTGTGAAGGCAGCTGGGCTCAGCTGCAGGTTGTGTAAGGCCTGAGGCAAGCTGGTTAAGGAAGAGGCAGTAGACAAAACTGGACTTAGAAACCCGACACCTGCAAAGCAGCTTCACCTAATATGGTGAGAAAACCCACACAGCCAACATTCCACTGTTGGTGTACCCAGGTGTCCACCTTCCTTCTTTCTCCCCACAGGCTATGGGAGGCAAATCTGTGAACTGAGAACATTTTTGATAATCAACTAGAGTCAAGCTCCACAGAAGAAAGCACAAGTCTAAACTACCCAAAGGGTAGTCCACTGCTCCCTCTAAAAAATACTGGAGATGGGGCTTTGAAAACATTCTATGGTATAAAAAACAATGCACCATTCAAGATTTTGAATAGGAAAACTTAAAAGTTACTCACTATATAGGAAATAGAGGTAAATAGTAGAATCATGTGTCTCATGTTCCCATAAAATTATGAAAACATGCACTATAAAAGATAAAATGAGGCTTTACTTACTAAAAAGAAGTTCGCTTGAGTAAAAGATAGCAAATATAAAAGGGGAAGGTAAAGAGACAAAAAGTAAAGTATTATAACTCTAATCTAGAATGGAGGCAGTAAAGATAGAATTGACCCTGCAGAAAATGAAATTAGTGGCATGAAGAATAAACTTAAAAGGTTCTTTCAGAATGCAGAGAAAAAAGAGCAAAGATTTAAAGATGAGAAAAAGAATGATACAAGTATATTATACAAATAATAAAAATCCAATGTCATTAAATAGTATGCCAGACAATACCAGAAGAAAATGAGACAGAAGCAGTAACAGAAGATATAAGAAAATTATAAAATGTTAGAATAAAAAGACTTCATAATATGGCAGATTAGTGAAAAGAGGTCTTTTGAAGTTTTAATATTTCAGGGGTAAATGATGAATATTATATGCATCCAAGCAGAAAAAAAAAGAAAAAATTAAGGTAGAAATCAAATACGATTTATATAAGAAAAATCTCTGTAGTATGATGATATTTTATATGAATAAAAGTAAAGAGACAAGAAAGAATGTCATACTCCTAATTAACTCTGGGGTCAAAGTGAACTCAAATATCCTTTTAAAAGACAATTTAAAAATAAACATCAAGCCAGTTGTGGTGGATCGTACAGCTCCAAAGGCTGAGGCAGGAAGATCACAAGTTTAAAGCCAGTCCTCAGCAACTTTGTGAGGCCCTATGCACCTTAGTGAGACCCTGTCTCAAAACCAAAAACATAAAAAATAAATAAATAAATGAGGATGTGGCTCTGTGGTTGAGTGCCTTTGGATTCAAACCCTGGTATATTCCCCCCAAAAAATAAAATAAAATAAACATCAATAGAAAAGAAGAAAAGGATCATTATAGGCAATTTAGAAAACAAAACTGAAATAAAGAAATAGTAGTCATTTAGCACTTATTTTGTACCAGGTACTGTTTAAATGAACTAAATATTTACATATGTTTACATATAAATCATATTAGTATATGTTAACTAGTCAATAAATGTATCAAAACTTTAATCTCACCAATAATTAAAGAAATAAAAATTAAAACTATAATGAGGCTATCAGGCTGGTGATGACTACAACATTATTGATAGCTAGAGGTGCTGGAAGGTGTGGAATTCTCTCACACATGCTGGTGAAAGTGTAAATGACATAACCAATTTGGAAGGAAGCCCAATAAACTTATGAAAATTAACATGCCCATCTCCAGTGACCCCCAAACAATTCTGTATTTAGAGTACACACTAAATAAATCATAAGGTTGCCACAAGAGGAGGCACACACAATCATTTCCAATAAAACATTTTTTAGGTAACTACCTTATAAATTACTTATGCCCTCATTTTATATTAAATACATAACATAAAACAGGAACTGCTTTAATATTTGTTCATCAATAAAGGGTAGTTTACATAAATTATGGTATATCACATAAATTAATGGTAAAAGTTTGAGGAGACACATAAGTTTACCCTGATTTGAAAATTACACAATGTGAACATATATAAAAACATTACATGGTACTCCATAAATACATAAAATTTTTACATGAAACAAAATTTTTTTAAATTTAAAAATCATTGTATATTCAAGCATTTAACAATGTATCCATACAGCTATCAAAAATGGTGATATAGATTTGAAATTTCTGGCACTAATATATTAACTGAAAAGCTAAGAAATATAAATTGCATATGTAGTATGATGACATTTTATATGCATAAAAGAGGCAAGAAAGAAAGAAAATGCTATAAAAGGTTAAAATTTGTTAAATCTGATACTTAGATTATGTCTTTATTTTCTTACTTTTAATTCTCTAAAGATAATTTTAAAAAATAACATCTTATTTAATTTTTTCAAATTATAAGAGATGGTTAAAACTATTGTTGGGAACAAATAGTCTCTCATTACTGATCAACAAATAATAAAAAATATGGACTATGGATACAACTTCAATAAACTACAGGATAATGTAAACTTAAAGAAAGTAAAAAGAGTAATTAAAGGTAACATATTTTTAATAAATCAAAAAATAAACAAATTTACATTAATAAAGCATAACAATTAAAAATGAGATTTAGAGAAAATTGGCACTATATAAGGAGAGTAATCAACACAGCATTTTTCCAATTGTTAAAAATTACAAGATATGAAAAAATTACAAGATATTAGAATGAAAGACTCCAATTTTATAAAAATAATCTTAGTGTCTCAATTTAAATGATAAGCTTATAGAAAAAAATACATTTTCAAAAACCAAATAAAGAAGATATAGATAAACTGATTAAATCAATGATAATAAAAATAATTTAGAGCTTTGTCAAAGACCATTTCCAGAATATTTTCCAGAGCCTTTTAGCATTTATGTACAAATCATTGAAACTTTGCAGGGAATTGGAAGTTTTCAAATTATTAATACCACCCTCATAGGTTAGAAAAGAATATAAAACTCACCCTCATAGGTTAGAAAAGAATATAAAACTCTTAGACACCACTTTACAAATTAATATAGCTCCAATTTTTATATGAGATAAAATTAGAGCACAGAAGTACCAAAAAAAAAAAAAAAACCTCAAGACCACCTTTGAATAAAGATTCATGTAAGTAAAAAATCTAGCAGAGACAAGCCACACAATACCAACCCCAATACTGAGGTTCTGCGTGCCTCATCATTCCAGAACCCTCTCTCAGTTCATATTCTGTCTCCTTATAGAACTAGCTTACTTAGGACCACCTCAGCTCCTCGAAATGATGTGTAACCCCCATGTGGACAGACCTCAAGCCATTTTAACTGCTATGGAACATTAGTGATTTGAAATAATTAAAAGGAAGAGAACTGCACCAGGCATGGTAGCACATACCTGTAATCCCAGCTACTGGGGAAGCTGAGGCAGGAGTTTCAAAAATATGAAGACAGCCTAGGTAATTACATCTGGAGATATAATTCACCGGAGGAGCACTGGCCTAGCATGTGTGTAGCTCAGAGTTCTATCTGTACCAACACACACACACACACACAC